TTCTTTTGGGGTAGTATCCAACGTAGTTTTATCCGGATCGGCTTGCAGAATTACATCTCTTGCAAACAGAAAATAAGTTTCTTTCGTCAACTGTTCGAGTTTGTGGCCAACTATACTACCCAAGGTATCCAAAATCGAAGTTCCGCTTGCTATTGCTAAAGTAGGCACTATCGGTTTTACAAAACAGAAGGAGCTGTTCCACAAATTGGATCCATGGGCTAATGGAATAACTGTTGTAGATACAACTTTGCCATGGCGACAATGTGAGAGTCGCAATTGCTTGGAGACAGAAAGATGGTATAATTCCCATCTATATTGAATATGTACTTTGAAACCCGAGAATGGGACCATGGAATTCTTGCTAGCACATAATCCCTGGTCGTGTTTCATTCCCATGCACACGACCAAAAGTAACATTAACAAGCTCACCGCTACCATCTTTTTCGCAGCCAAATCAATGGCTGCTTCCATTTATGCTGGTACTGCATCCGGGAGATGAGCATCGCATTTTACATTTTTTTGCGAGACAAAGGCGCTAGTGTAGACATGGACAATGGTCAACAAAGCAATAAGGCCCATCGAGGGGGCACACAAAAGACCACAGCCAAGAAGAAGTTGCACCAGAATGGCCAAAACGTTAAAGCTTTCGCAGTGAATGCTCCTAGGAAGCTCGAGCGTATGGCTCGTCGTACTCATGATGTTAATGAAAAGAAATTGCATGTCCCCATGGTGGATAGAATGCCAGAAGATGACCCTCCTCCTGTGATTGTTGCTGTAGTTGGGCCTCCTGGTACCGGAAAAACAACATTGATCAAGTCTTTGATACGAAGATTGACAAAAACCACCTTGACAGAGGTTAAAGGTCCGATCACGGTTGTGAGTGGAAAAAAGCGTCGACTCACATTCATCGAATGTAACAATGATCTCAACTCGATGATAGATTTGGCTAAAATAGCTGATCTTGTTTTGCTTCTCGTCGATGGTAATTTTGGCCTTGAGATGGAAACCATGGAATTTCTTAATATAGCACAGCATCATGGTATGCCCCGTGTGTTGGGTGTTACTACTCATCTTGATTTATTCAAGTCTCAGTCTACTCTTCGGGCATCCAAGAAAAAATTAAAACATAGATTTTGGACAGAAGTGTACCAAGGTGCCAAGTTGTTTTACTTGTCTGGTGTTATAAATGGGCGTTATCCAGATCGTGAAATTATCAATTTGAGCAGATTTATTTCTGTGATGAAGTTCCGCCCTTTGAGGTGGAGAAATGAACATCCATACTTATTGGCGGATCGAGTGACCGATTTAACTCATCCCCAAGAGATCACCGAGAATCCAAAATGTGACAGAAAAGTCGCCATGTATGGCTATTTGCATGGTACTCCCTTGCCCTCATCAAATGCTCACTTTCACATAGCAGGTGTTGGTGATTACTACGTCTCTTCTGTGGAAAAACTTCCTGACCCATGTCCAACTCCTGCATTCGAACAACGGTTAGAGGAGATAGAAAGAGAAAAAATCAAGGCTGCCGCCGCTGCGGGAGAACCTGTTGCCAAAACAACCAGGAGAAGAAAGAGACTTGAAGACAAGCAGAAGATTATTTACGCTCCCATGTCGGATGTTGGTGGTGTTATGGTCGATAAAGATGCGGTTTACATTGATATGGGCGACAAGCAACTGTTTGTTCCAGGAGAAGATTTGGAAGGAGGTGAGAAATTAGTCACTGATTTGCAAGAAGTCCAAAAAACGATGCAAGAAAGGTTCGAAGAGGGCCCTGGCTTACAATTGTTTTCCTCCTCTCATGCTTTACGTGAAGCCGACTTAGAAGAGGACGAAGACGAGGAAGAATTAGACGATGATGAAGAACCTAACGGCGACATGGGTAGGTCTACCATGAGACATGCTCGCAAGCACATCCGTTCGGATGCTGCTGAGGTGAATGATACCCAATTAGGAAGCGACAGCGAAGATGAGGACGTCGATCTCGATGAAAATAAGAGGCAAAAAGTGATAGATTTGGGCGACAAGTATGATGAAGCAGAGTTGTCTTTTGAGGAAGATTCCTCGTTATCTTCCGATGAGGAATTCGCCGAACAAACAACGAGATCATCATCGAATCAAGGAAAGAGAAAGTGGAATTTGAATAGACTTCTTTACATGCCAAATATTGATCCCGAGGATGTGGTGAAGAGATGGAAAGGTGATGACGAAGAGGACGAGGAAGAAGAAGATATTGAAAAGGACGACGATGATTTTTTCAAGCAACGGAAGTCGGCAAAAGATCAGAGCGTTGATTTGGATACGTTTATTCCGCCTTATCCCTCTGTTGAAGAGCTTCGCTCTAAATTCTCCAATGAAAGCGATGAGGAGTACGAAAGTGGTTATGCCAAATTAAAGCTGAGATTTTTGCTGGCTCCACTTAGTCATGAAAGTGATGAAGACAACGAGGAAGATAAGAATGGTGATTTCGAAGACTTGGAAGCCCAGGAAGATGAAGATAATTCACAAAACTCTGACGACTTTGCGGACTTTGATAAAGAGGAAGCAGATGGGGACGACCAAGACACTCCAGAAAGCGAAGTTGATGAAGCCGATCCACAAAAGGCTCGTGAATTGTCTGCTTCGAAAAAAGCCAAGTTGAAGTTGCAGTTCGAAGAGGAAGATGATCGCGAGTTTGGGGCCGATGATCCTGAGGGTGACACAGAAGCTGATACTTGGTATGAGTTTCAAAAGAACAAAATTGCAAAGCAATTGGAGATCAACAAGGCTGAGTATGAGGAAATGGACGAAGCATCAAGGGTCAAAATTGAAGGTTATACAGCCGGTTCGTACGTGAAGATTGTATTCTCCAACATTCCATGTGAATTTGTCGAGAATTTGCAACCTGAGTTTCCTCTCGTCTTAGGAGGATTACTTCCTACTGAGTCAAGGTTTGGAATCATGAACGTCAGAATAAGACGCCATAGATGGCACAAGAAGATTTTGAAGTCACAGGATCCATTGATTCTATCTTTAGGATGGAGGAGATTCCAAACCCTTCCTATCTATACCACCACAGATTCCAGAACCAGGAACAGAATGTTGAAGTATACTCCCGAGCATGCTCATTGTTTCGCATCATTTTACGGACCGCTAGTTGCTCCCAACACTACGTTTGTTGGTTTCAATATAGTTTCAAAGTCTGCAACTACCGGCTCGTTCCGTGTTGCTGCTACTGGTATCGTTGAGGATCTCAATTCAGAGGTTGAAATTGTGAAAAAATTGAAACTTGTTGGACACCCTTACAAGATCTTCCGTAACACTGCGTTTATCAAGGACATGTTTTCCAACTCTCTTGAAGTGGCTCGGTTTGAAGGTGGTTCAATTCGTACGGTGTCTGGTATTCGTGGTGAAATCAAGCGAGCATTGTCCAAACCGGAGGGTCATTTCAGAGCCACATTCGAGGACAAAATCTTGATGTCAGACACCATTTTCTTAAAGACATGGTACCCTGTGAAAGTCAAGAAGTTTTACAATCCTGTCACCTCATTATTGCTCAGAGATCATAGTGAATGGCAGGGTATGAGATTGACTGGTCAGGTTCGTGCTGAACAAGGTGTACCCACCCCAATGAACGAAGACAGTGCTTACAAAAAGATTGAGAGACCTGAAAGACACTTTAATCCTTTGAAAGTTCCGAAATCCATCAAGAGTGCACTTCCCTTCAAGAGTCAAATCCACGAAATGAAGCCGCAAAAGAAGCAATCATATTTGGCTAAGCGTGCTGTGGTTTTGGGCGGCGAAGAAAAGCGTGCTAGAGATTTGATGCAAAAGATTGCTACTGTGCGTAAAGAAAAGGAGAGCAAGCGGAGAGCTAAAAAGGATGAAAAGTTCCAGGACAGACTCAAGAAGAAAGCCAAGGAAGAGGAAATACGAAATGAAAAGAAGAAGGAAAAATCCAAGGAGTTTTTTGCTCGCGAAGGTAGAAAGAGACCCGTGGGTAACAATGAGACTACGACGGCAGCTTTTGGCAAGAGGCAAAGAAGATAGTTTCCATAGCATATTAATCTAATACGAGACACCAATTAGTGTCGCGAAAAAAAAAAAATAGTTTTAATTTTTTGTTTTCATAGTCTCTATACGAAAACAATGGTCCATGAAGTGGATATAGCCGAAATACCGTTGAAAAGAAGCGAGGAAACGTTTGTAGATGAGCCAAAGTCATTATTGGATGTCAACGATATCGAATTATCCTTCGACCTCAAACATAAAGTCAAGAACATCAACTCATTGCATGTCTTCCATGCGATTGTAATACTACGAAATACAGTTGAAGTGATTATAAAGCTCCAGGAAGATCCACAACGGTTCCAGGATTACAGAAATTCACAGTTGGCCTTGTTAGGAATACAAATAGATGATAGTGGAGTCCCATACATCGCTGATTCCAACAGCAACAATCGCAGCAACAAACCTGACATGACTACCCCGCCTCATTCACCTCCACTAAAAATTGCCAAAATAGTAAAGGAGGACCTGTCCAACGACTTCTTGAAGGATGCAACTCCAGAGTCTACCGAATTGCTAGACGACGGCGAGTCTGTGAACGCAACTACCTCGCTGTACATACCTATCGAGTTACTATTGAAGGAAGAATTTACCGAGGTTTCTGAACCCATTACAGGGTGCAGCAGTAAACGCATCTACAGAGAGATGCAAACGACTCGCAAACAGAAAGCAGCTGCTCAATATTCGCATCTTCTCAAGTCATTCAATTTAGCCAGTGAACCAACTATTTCTGTTGAAAGTTTCCTCATGAGAATCAACACTTACTCTTCTTCTACATCGGTTCTGGTTTACATCCACGCAGCATTCTTGATCTACAAACTAGCTGTTATCATGGACGTGCTACCTCTCTCCATGTTTAATGTGCACCGAGTAATCCTTTCTCTGATCAGATGTCTGACTAAAAAATTAGAGGATGTTTACCAGTCACAAACTAACTATGCTACGGTAGTGGGTGTTTCCAAAAAGGACTTGTTCAAGTTGGAAGTTGGGTTCTTGTTTCTCTGTAATTTTCAACTTGTAGTTGGAGAACAAATCTTGAATGATTTCGTAAAACTGGCATACGTTGATCTTTTGCATACGAACGCTAACGAATAAATACAAGTCATCATAAAAAAGTAAAGATCCTTGCTTTAAAGGAATGACCCTCCATTTAACAAAAAAATTAAAGTATGCGAATTCTGTGGATCGAACACAGGACCTCCAGATTTCTTGACTGAAGTCGACTTCAGTCTGGCGCTCTCCCAACTGAGCTAAATCCGCCACCAGTATATGAACCCACGGCGGGAGTCGAACCCGCAATCTTTTGATTAGAAGTCAAACGCGTTAACCATTACGCTACGCAGGCTCTTTGTTGTGTCTTTTGTGTCGCTAGCATTCAAGCCAGTTACTCTCTAGATGCGGGAACGCAACTATGATGGAACACAGATCGCAGCAAGTCAATTGAGTTATATGACTCACTATGCATCATATCCGAATTCAGTCACACCCCAGATATGCACCATACAACATTTACGAATAGACTCATTTTGGTTGCCCGTTTTCCCGTAGTAACCGCGGCTGACTACCTTCTCTGAGAGCCCCACCTGCGTCATTCGTGCGGCTCATACTGATAAGGGTGTGTCATAGGCGCAAAACGTGGCTGCGTTAGTGCATTTGTTTATAAACCACACATCGTTTGATTTACTCATATCTATTAGTCACATCTGCATCTACATCAGTCAGCTCTTTTGGGAATGAAAGTACATTCTGCCAATCCTTATAAGGGCCTCAAACCAACCATACAGCTTTCTAGCTTCCCCACAAATATCTCTAGACTTGCTAAAAATAACACCATTAGAACCATGCGTACGAGCCTGAGTAGTATGGATACTACTGAAGGGCTCTCATTGGACCAGATGGTCAATTCGTCGTGGTTGAGACACCACCTTTACTTGTTGGGACTGGATCTTATCAAGCTCAAGCTTTATCAGAAGTTTAGTCACTTGTTGACTACAGGAGGTGGAGGACTTATCAAGAATGCCGTATTCGAATTATCGTCTTTTCTCAAGAGAGAGCTCGTGGATAGACGATGCCGGGCAGATAGCCCCGAGTCCAGTATTGCGAGTCAGTTGAAGGAGTTGATCTCCTACAACTTGTCATTTACTGCTGATTCACAGAGAAGTGCTATACTTGATGGAGAGGACTATCGAGAATCTCAGTTTAAGTGGTTCTTCATTGCCGTGGGCTACATGATAGTGACAGAATCAGAGAGATCGGTTGAAGATTTGGCCGATAAGATTATCTCCATCTACATGAGCTCTACGACGCCCACTATCCCAATCGACGCAGCTTCAGCTCCCCAGATTGACAGAGACAATGCTAGGATACTAAGTTTGATTCACCGCTATTACAGATCGGTCGACATCGACTATGATCTTCTTTATCGTCCACGGCCAATCTCCATCAGGATGTTTGACTCCGTCTACTACCACATTGATCTTCCACCGCTTCCAAAGATCGAGAACAAGTCGCTTCTCGCTAAGGCTTTGATGCACAAGGAAATGTACCGAGCATTTCTTGTCAAGTCGCACCCTTTTAGCGAAATGTTGCTTGAAGAAGGTATCGAACCTACTAGAGATTCATGCAAGGTTATTCGCTACGACCTTTCATTTTTGGACGGTTTGGGAGACTTCTACTTGGCTCGTGAGTCTTCAAAGCTATTGTATCAGTTCAAGGTGGAGACAGCACCACCATCAGAGGATGCTGGTTTTGGCAGAAAGTCTTACAACATGTTGAGAACTATTCTTGCTACAAACACACTTCTTTCGAAGTTGGCGATAGCTTATAACCTCCATCGTGGACTTAATGATCCAATAATTTACCAGTTCTTGTTGGAAGACTACGTTCCTCACATATCTACCTGGTCGAGTCCTGAGTTTGATATGTCTGACGACGTCAACGGTGTCATGAGGTATGAGCAGGAATTCATTGCAGATTATTTTGAACAGTACGTTGGAGCATTGTTTCTCGAGCAGCCAGAAGTTGCACAGGACTGGATCAACAAGATATACCACAATATCTTGTTACTGATACCAGATCTCCACACCACTCCCGGGCGAATTCTTAGGTACGACTACAGGGCCTGGAGCCATGACGTGATTGGAAGACAAGTTATGTAGATCTTGACTCGGTATGATAAGTATGAAAGAATCAATATAAGTTAGATCCGACCAATGACATAAAGCTATTCATTTGCGAGCATCTTTCATCAATGCTGCAAAGCCGCCGTTGCCTCGCTTCTTCTTATTACCTGCTAACTTTTTGGCAGTGATATATTTTGATGAGTTATCATCTGAGTCAGAATCGTCAGATGAGGAAGACGAGGACTCAGACGACAGTTCAGAACTTTCGTCCTGCGTTTGTGAGCCTTGAGTCTTTGCTGGAGCTGTCAGTTGCTGACTGCTATCTCGGACATCAGGGACACCTCTTTTCGCCAAATCTGTCAATGAATTTAGAGTTGGTTTCTTTATGCTAGAAGGAACTGTAGTGTTCAGCTCGGGTTTTTGAGACTTTTGTACAGGTGTATCCTTTTTCTCTACCGCCTTCGTATCCGATGGGCCAAGAATCGTATTCTTTGCCTTGGTCGACAACGCTTGTCCTCTAGGTTTTATTGAGGTGAAACTTGACGAAGGGGTAGACGCCGCTAGTCTAGGCTTTTGCTTATTTCCTGATGTACTTGAGTCAGATTCATCCGATGACTCTGAACTTTCGTCTGACAGCTCTGATGATTCTGAGATCTGCTCGGACATCAGGTCTTTACTTGAATCTTCTGGTTCTTTTGATTTGTTTTCCTCTTTCTTAGATGGTAACTGTTCGGTCTTGATCTCTGAGAGTGAGGTATCATGATTTCGAGGAACATTTAAAGATGTGAGCTTCGCATCAAATTTCTTTACTTTATCGAAAACAGATGCGAGTTTGGATTTGGGAGGAAATTCAAGAGATATCCTAGAACTGTCATTACTCTTGCTGTTGGAGTCATCTGCAGTTTTTGATGTATCTTTCCCATTCTGGACTATGTTGACAGTAGGGACTGTATTATTGCTTGAACCTTCACCATTAGTACGTACCGGAGACATTAATGTTCTCTCAGTAGTGTAAACAATTGGGGCGCCATCTTCAGAGGTGCCGTTTTGGCCCCGCAGACGTGAACGCGTGGCTCTTGTGGAATGGTCCACTACGGGAAAGTTGGCATTGACCATATCTATTTCCAAGCCTTTCATTAAGTTCCGAGGGGGACGCCCCTTCGATGGCGATATTTTGGAAGCTGATTTCAGCCCATTTTTCTTTGATTCTTCAGCTTCGTTTTTGGAGAACAGGTCCTTGAACATTTCCAATAATTCCTGTTTAGACATCACGCTTCCTGCGTCGGAGTCATCGTCGTCCTTGTCATCGGAGTCGTCGCTGCTTTCGGTATCGTTTTTATTCTCCAGAGCACTCTCCTCTTCCATTTCGATATCTGGTTCAACGAAAGAGTTCATGTCAACCAGTTTGGTCGGAGACGGTTGGGGTACGTTTTCCAGTGGTGATGCAAGCATTGTGTGCGTTTCATTCTCTGGCGAGTTGCTTTCATGTACTGGTGCTGCCAACATACCTGAAGTGATACGTTTGGTGGGTAGCTCACTATGTGATACCGGATTGCTACGTTTTCGAGGAATTGTCCTGTCGTCTCGCGATTCTGGAGGTGGTAACGATATCATGCTCTGGTCCAAATGACTTGTAGAAGGCAGTCTTGGAGCTGTTGGGGACGAAGCTGAAGGAGCGAAAAACTCATCATTAATTTTTTGCTGGGTGGTTGTGGTTCGTTTTTTCGGTATGTGTATGTCATGAGTAGAGGAATTGCTGCTAATTCTCTCATTCCAAATAGTTGGTCTAGATAGCAAATCATCCTGAGTGGTCTGTGGATCTATGTCCATACGGCTTGCAGATTCTGATGTTGCCTTTCTTGAATAACCAAGCGCTGTGGGTGTACTTTGGGCCCGGTGTGAGATGTCAGTCAATGTTTGATCTAACATATTTGGCCGTGCAGAATTCGATGCAATGACACGTATTATATCTCCTTGGTTTAAGACCTCATCCACCAAATAATCAGGGTCTAGGTCGCACATATCGTTGTCTTGGACCAGAAATATTTGAAGCTCGTCATCGTCTGGATACAACTTTCGATATCTCATCACTAGGGTTTCGCATACTTGATGAAGTGTAGAACTACCCTCGGCCAAGTGGACAAACTTTCGAGTACCCCATTGAGTTAGCTTGGTACTATCCACTTCTTTTCTGTTGTGGGGCACCAATAACACCTGCAACTTCACCATTACCATCTTACGAAGCGTGTCGCAACTTGGAGTGCAAAATTTCCAATGCGGTAACATGGCATCATAACACCATTTTCAACCCATATCCCAATGGCTGCAAAAATTGTCATTTGAGCACATCGGAGCCAAGTAAGCGAACGGCGTCTTCTCTAAGCTTTGACAAATCTTCAGCTGGTGGCTCTGTAGTAAACCGCTCAAAAACGGTCTCGGGGTCCGGAACTTCAAATGAGGCGGACCAAGTGAGAATCTCACCATCGAGAGTACCGCCATAGAACTGACCTTGAAACGGCGCACCCAAAGCCATTGCAGAAGTTCTGGCGGACGTAGGCTTGTCGCTATTTGTTTTTCGTTTGAGCCTCGAAACCATCTTCCCATCAATGATCCGAAACACAAATATATCGCCCGAATCGGAAGGAAAAAGTAGGTACGAAAGCTCTGTCTCCTGGTGTGAATTGAGTAGCATTGGAATGTTTTGTGGGTACTTGTTTCTTGTGAGTGGTCCGAAATTGATGAGTTTGTTGATTGGAGGAGCCAGATTTGACAACAAATCCCATACTCTGATCTTGTCGTCATTACCAGCAGACAATAGCAATTGGCCCATCAGATCCCATACTAAACCGTTTACAGGCGCCAGGTGTGCTCTTACGGGCACCTCATTTCTTGTTGAGGCCGAAGATGTGCCCTTTTCACTGGTACGAAGCATGTCTAGTCGGGCAATACAGCTGTTGCTGCGACGAATATCCCATAATTTGATTTCCCCGTCGAAACCGCCCGTGGCCACTACGTTCTCCATATGAGGATGCCACTTGACACTTAAAGTTTTCCCTCTATGGCCCGGAAGGGTATGCGAACTGGCAGTTGATCTAAGATCAACAAGTCTCACATGCGGGTGGTCAATTGCAACAGCTACGAGGGCTTGAGATGCAGAAATATCAAACGAGTACACTCTTCCAGTCATGTCAAATTCGTGTGCAACCTCGAGTACATTTGTATCCCAAACCTTGACAGTATGATCGAATGACGCCGACACGAACATCCCGGTATCTTGCGGCCACCATTCCACACAAGAGACACCAAACTTATGAGCACTCTTTTTCGGTATTGAGGCTATACATTGATAGTTACTCTTATCATCAGTCACATTGACGTCCCATAGCTTCATAGTTGAGTCAGCACACCCACTAATGACATATCTATAATCTAGAGATTCGGCTGCTATGCTATTCACAGCGGCATTATTATGGCAGCGGTCAGGAAAGCCTGTCCCTGTATCTTGCGAGAAACTGGTATAGTAGCTTTCTGCAACTGTGGTGGCGAACTCATATGGAGAGATTTGCAGTGTGAACCGTTCAAATAAGAGTGATTGCATGCTGCACCATCGCACTGCAACAGTCAGTGATAGAGAAGTGGGTGTTCGGTATGGGTGTTTGGGTGTGAATCTCAAGTGGGTGAATTTTCAAAAAATTTATTACATCTTGAACATGTTGGATATTAATGCATTTCTTGTAGAGAAGGGGGGAAACCCTGAAACCATTCGAATCTCTCAAAAGAAGAGAGGTGCACCTGTGGAATTGGTGGACGAAATCATCAAGGATTACAAGGACTGGACCAAGATAAGGTTTGAGTTGGACGAGATGAACAAGAAGATGAACGCTCTTCAAAAACAAATCGGACAAAAGTACAAGGCCAAGGAAGATGCTAGCGAGCTTTTGAAACAGAAAGATACTTACACTGAGGAGAAGAAGCAATTAATTGAAAAAGAGCAAAAAGCAGATACCGATTTAAGATTCAAAGTCAACCAAATTGGAAATATCGTTCATGAATCTGTGGTGGACTCTCAAGATGAGGAAAACAACGAGCTTGTTCGTACTTGGCTTCCTGAGGGTGTGAAGGAGGCTGGAGCCATCGCTACGGCCACTGGAGCTCCAGCAGCTTTGTCGCATCACGAAGTGTTGTTGCGTTTAGACGGTTACGACCCTGAAAGAGGTGTTCGTATCGTTGGTCACCGTGGGTATTTCTTGCGTAATTATGGTGTTTTCTTGAACCAGGCTTTGATCAACTATGGTTTGCATTTTTTGGCCAGTAACGGTTACACTCCATTGCAAGCTCCCGTGATGATGAACAAGGAAGTCATGGCCAAAACAGCTCAATTATCCCAATTCGACGAAGAACTTTACAAGGTTATCGATGGAGATGATGAAAAGTACTTGATCGCAACTTCGGAACAGCCTATTTCCGCTTATCATGCTGGGGAATGGTTTGAATCACCAGAAGAACAATTGCCTGTAAGATATGCTGGTTACTCCTCCTGTTTCAGAAGAGAAGCCGGATCTCATGGTAAGGATGCTTGGGGTATTTTCAGAGTTCACGCATTTGAGAAAATTGAGCAATTCGTATTGACTGAACCAGAAAAGTCATGGGAGGAGTTCGACAGAATGATTGGTCTTTCCGAGAAATTCTACCAATCTTTGGGCTTGCCTTACCGTGTTGTCGGCATTGTTTCCGGAGAATTGAACAACGCTGCTGCTAAGAAGTACGATTTGGAAGCTTGGTTCCCCTTCCAGAAGGAATACAAGGAATTGGTTTCATGTTCTAACTGTACCGACTACCAATCACGTAACTTGGAAATCAGATGTGGTATCAAGCAACAAAACCAAACTGAGAAGAAATACGTCCACTGTTTGAACTCTACACTTTCTGCCACTCAGCGTGCGTTGTGCTGTATCTTGGAAAACTATCAAAAAGAAGACGGATTGGTGGTTCCAGAAGTTTTAAGAAAGTACATTCCTGGCGAGCCTGAGTTCATTCCATATGCTAAGGAACTTCCAAAGAACTCTACCTCCAACAAGAAGAAGAAGTAGACCAATAAACACCCCATATTGTTTGCAACTGTTCGTGCGTGCTTAATTTTCATATAGGTCTCTAAAGATAGATGTGTGTCGTCGGTGAGAATCTGTCATCTATAATTACATAGCCAATGCAGTTTCATAAATAGGACCCTGACAAAAGGTGTTTAAAAAATGTGGACTATGTTGCTTTGCAAAGGTAGAGTTATATCAGCAACAGATCGAACTCAATTGGAAACATTGTTGTAGCTAAATGTACGTCGGTAACTTCGTCTACTCATAGAAGTGCTAGATTGATTCTTTATTCTTGATTATAATTAGTAAGGGATAATAATATGGAAATATTTGCTCCACCTTGTTCTGGAAACTGTGAAATTCTCGAAGCTTGCTTACGACCGATATCGCCTTAATAATATATGCGAAACTGTTCCATTGGGGAAATTGGGGTCGGAATTAGTCTGCGAGCCGCACCCCATTAATGCATGGCTAGGTAATGCCTGAAATTAACCTTCGGCCGAGCCTATATGCACGAGCCCTCCAAGGTATAAAGGAGTGCACCATCTAGCATGCAAAGCAATCAATACAAGCAATTGAATCATGTCATTATTTTACAAGAAGGAAGACGACGTCAAAGGAAAGACTGCCTTGATCACTGGAGGCACCAAAAACTTGGGTGGTGAGACCGCAAAGGAACTCGCTCGTTTCGGAACCAACCTCTTCCTTCACTACCATTCATCTTCTGACAAGGAGAAGAGTGAAAAGTTGGCCAAGGAAATCCAATCGCAACATTCAGTTAAGGTTGAGGTTTATCAAGGAGCATTGGATTCCGCTGAGGATTTGGAGCAACTTTTTGCAGCCGCGAAGAAGGCATTCCCACTGGGAATTGACATTGCTATTAACAATGTGGGTATGGTATTAAAGAAAGAGCTCACTACAGTTACGGAAAAAGAATGGGAGAAGATGGATAACATCAACAATAAGACTGCTTTTTTCTTCCTTAGAGAAGCTGGTAAGCATGTCAACGACAATGGAAAGATTGTATCTTTGGTGACTTCGTTGTTGGCCGCTTATACTCCAGCTTATGGTGTTTACCAAGGTACAAAAGCACCAGTTGAATACTATTCGAAGACTGCCTCGAAGGAATTGCAAAGTCGTGGAATTTCGGTCAACTGTGTTGCGCCAGGACCTATGGACACCCCATTTTTGTATGGACAGGAGACCGATGAGTCGGTGGCTTTCTTCAAGACCTGCGGTTTGCACAACAGATTGACCAAATTGGAAGACATTGTGCCAATTGTCAGATTCTTGGTCACTGAAGGTGGCTGGATCACTGGTCAAACCATTTACTGTTCTGGTGGATTTACGGCGCATTAAACAGACGTCTTTATTTTTTGAATAAATGTTTTCAATTCCTAGTCTACTCTAACAGTTAGCCAAGACATCTTCGGCACAGCAACAGCAGATAAGTGCAGCACAGCATCCACAGAAGGTGCTACAACATCCTCCACCTCCACCTCTCTGGGGTTGTTGTTGGACATACATAGGTTGTTGCTGTTGGTAGTAACCCTGAGGAGGTCCTTGTTGGTAGTAACCTTGTTGAGGAGGGCCTTGTTGGTAGTAAGACTACATAGTTAGTAAACTTGCCTCGAGTATGCAATGGAAGATCTGTTGCTACACCCTTGATGCAGCCAAAATACGCCGCGCATGATTCGACATGCTAGTGCTTAACTCCGCAAAGGTTCAAGGAGAATTGCGACCAAAAATCACCCTACTGGATCTTACATACCATTTCGACAAAAGTAAAGGAATGAGTTGTCAACAAAGGCTATGTTGTTGTGCATGATTCCTCTGGTGTTGACACTACCATGCGTAGGGCGAAATCCTATTTTTGCAATGCCGAATAAGCCACCGACATTGGGCGGGACAAAATGCTTCACCACATGGCTTCAACGCTATTCTTCAAAATTTCGAGTTGCACTTTATGCTAAAGCCTGCAGCTTTTCCTATCAAAGATCTCCGGCTTGGCATGAATGGATGAGCCTTGACGAACAGTTCCATGCAGGTTCCTGCATCAACTCCATGTGTCAACCTCCAACGTGCAGAGGTCTGCGCGGCTACTCATGCATGCAGGCTGAAATATCTTGCGCATCTCAAACCGAACCGCTCTCATGGCTGATTTCGGTGGCCTCCCCACCCATCTTCCAAATACTGCGCCAGAGCCTTCGACGCTTGTCAATGAGACAGAGCAGAATTCACCAGAGATCCCGGACCGGAAAGAGCTGATCAATAAAAATGAGGAGATACTGATCGGACTGTCTGAAGCTACGTCTCAATTATCTGCCCCATATATTCCCGGAACCTCGATAAAACTAGAAACCGATGAGGATATTGCCAAATGGATAGAAGACAGAAAGCGTAATTGGCCGAGTAAAAAGAACATAGAGCAAAAAAAGAAGCGACCAGCTCCTCCCGCAATACCTCATGAATCGGCTCCATCAAAACGGCCGCGCAATGTATGTCGCTTTTTTCAGCAGCATGGTCGATGCAAGTTTGGAAAGAATTGCAAAAACGTTCATGAAAGCTCTGGCGGCACCAAAAGTGGGAATTCTTCAAATATCAAGACTATTAACGACATAACCGTATCCATTCCTCAAAGGTTTAAGAACGATGATTCACAGTCGTCGTTGTTCCGCAAGTTGATCCAGAAAGACCACTTTGAGAATGAAAATGAGAAGGTTTTGGACTTCATACTCTACCTACAACTGAAAAATTTGGTGGACCATAATGTTACTATGAATAGTAAAGCCTAGCATATCATATATATAATCGCATATTGATCTCAATGATCATGTTCCTTGAGTTTTTTGGTAGCATCGAGCATTATACTGCATTGTTTGGCAATCTCTCCCAACTTGCTAATCACCTTTTCATTTCCTTTCCCGAATCCGTAAATCGAGTAACTCAAACCCACATCTTTGCAAAAATCAATCACAAACGGTTGGACAGCTCTGAAATTATGCCTTGGTAAACGAGGGAACAAGTGGTGAATAGCCTGGAATTGCAAGCCTCCGTGGAAGAAATCGAACCACTCCGGGCAATCGACGTCCATAGTGGTGCGAATCTGCCTTTGAGGAAACGACTCGCTGGGTCCCAAATCTGCAGTCGACATTGCAAAATGAGACAATGTGATTTGTACATGAACCATCATGGTTGCAATATGGCTGATCATTACGTAGGAGAATCTGTCCCAACCGTTGGGTATTGACTTCCAAACCAACAAGTAAAAGAACCAGTAGAAAAAGAACGAGAGACCTGCAAGTTCATAGTACCGGAACCATGCGGCCTTACCATGACGAGGACCTAATCCTAAAAGCAAATGAGTCCATGAAAGCCTGTACAAGTTGAACCTTCCAAAAGCAAGGATGGGGTAGTATAAGTAGTCCTGAATGAGTATCATTTTCTTTGCGAATGCATCGAAATAAAGGTACTTTTCGTAGTAGGTGGAGTATACACTGCCGAGTAGTCTGGCACTGACAGCGAAAAATGGTAAATGTTGGATATCAGGATCATGCACAGGATCATTAGTGATCAAATGATGCACATTATGGTTGCGCTTCCACCAGCCTAAACTCAAGCCACCAAACCATGATGCGAGTGTCATACCAAAGGTAGAATCTACTTGATAGTTGTGGGTTATAGATATATGCCCAGCATCGTGGACAATAAAGGTGGTTTGCTGCCATGCGAATCCCATTAATATTGCACTTGTCTTGAGCCATCCAATTTTGAAAAACGAAAGCGAGTAAAGTACCAAACTGCTGATCTTGACCAATTCTCTGACATAGTTCCAGTAGTTACACTGGTAGAACCCATTACGAATTACTCGTTGGTGAAGTTCGTGGTATTTTTCGCGAAGGTGCTGTTGAGTCTTGTAGTCCAAAGCTGGAACATCAGCAAGATCTTGTTGAGTGAGCTCATTATCAAAATTGTCAATGATTTGCTGCGGATCAACAATAACCTTGCTGTTTCTTACTGGGAATATTTCATCTTTGTTTTCTGAAGATAATGCGTGAATATCTTGTGGCACTTTAGGTATAACTCTGCCAGCAGGAAACCCTAATCCTTTTTCTTTGGATGTCATATCGAGATTCAAACTGGAACTAGAGCTCGATGTTGAAATGAGTTCCATTTCTGAGCCACTTGTGTCTGATTCGTCGAGCTTGGCTTCTAACAGTTTGTGGTCAGTTGTAATTGCGTTACTTGAATAGAGTGCACCAGCAATTGGGGGTTGTAAGTTCTCCCATGGGTAGTCGATCGTACCGATTTTCCACTTGGTAAACGTTTTAGCTGTATCCTCACTATGATAGGCATCCATTTCGTCACTGGCGTCTCTGCCAATCATATGGTGAACGGCTTTTTCTCCTCCAGGATGCCGTGGAAGCCATTTTGTCAAGTTGAGCACATTACCTTTGTATATAACTATAGCACGCCCATCTCTAATCAAGCCTTTGATATGGGCTGGGGATAGGACATCTGTATTTGTGCCCATTATCGAACGATCTCCTGATGCGAGTTCAAGTTTTGACAATAGGCGCTCGAGGCTATGCAGTACATGTGATATACCGGGGCTCAGCATCATAACCCACTTTAGATCTGGTACGAGCTACAATCACCATCTTGTTCGTTATTATTTGTCATTTTTGGCTATTTGCTATAACTGAAACATTTTTACTGAATATAGCATACCGTAAAACAGCCGACTATTCTCCCAACTTGACCTTGTCAATTTTCCACAGTGGGTCAAGAATTTTGTCCTTTTCCTCAAACAATACCTTGTATGACGTCTTGATTGTACCGTCACTAACTCCAGCCTTGTCGGCGATTCTGGCAGGTGAAACATCAACGTTGAAAATGAGAGAAGCCATGTAAATCACCGTGGCCGCTACCGTAATAGGAGACCTACCAGACAAAATCTGCTCGTCTTTGCACCGGCGTGCTATGTACTCGGCTGCATTTGATATTTGTGTGCTTAAACCCAAATGTGAGCAGAACCGTCTGATCAAATCTTCGGCAGATGTCGAACTGACTGGCTGTTGGGTCATATGCATGACATCGGGGTTGTTGGAGTGCTTTTCTTGGAGAAGCTGAATCATGGTCTTGAAAACTCTGCCTAACTCCTTTTTGGGTACGTTCGTCAATGCGGCAATCTCCAAGAAAGAACGACCGACGTTTGCCTTACGACATCCAAGACAGATCGACGCTGCCATTATTGATTCTTGTGATTTACCCCTTAAACGTTTTTCGTCATGTACAAGTTTGTAGATTTCTTTGGAAGCATCTTGCACTACTCTTGGAAGCTGGTATCCCTCACACATGTGCGATATTTTTGAGTATGCTGCGACTAAAGAGGAATCTTTTCTGTCTATTGCAGACTTCAGCTGAGCTCTACTCAAGTCTCTTCCTGCTCTTCCATCATTTGGGACGTAGGAGATCATTGTAGATAAGTCCTCGCTATCCAACAACGGGTTACTGGCATCTCCCACACGATTAGGATCTTCTCCATTTCTGTCATCGTTACTAAAAGTTCTCCATTCAGACCTAGTGTCGACCACTCTGTCACTTAATACAAGTCCACAGGTGCCACACACTATGTCGCCTTCGCTAAACCGTTCAATCAAGTCGGGAGGGTAGGTTTTACATTCCGGACACGAAAGGGTGACGTTCAAGTTGGGCCCAGTAAAGGGTTCTTGTGGAGCCGAAGAGGCTGCAACATTCATCATTCCTCGAGAGTAAGCTGAGACCGTTCTGAAGAGGTAAGAAAAATCCACAAGATGTACTCGAATAAACGAAACACCGGGTTGCAAGAAGGTGATTATTAATTTTGATTTTCTGTCAGTTGAACCTTCCGATTTATATGCAGAATTATGAGATTAGTCTATACGCAGGCAGCAGCACTATTCTATACTCTACCTTGTAGCTACAATGGTCACGATAAGCCTTTAATATTTAAAATCCTCACTTAGTTCTCCTCAACGTGCTAAAGTGCCGACTGAGCTTTTTGCTACTGGGACTGCGTCCCAATTGCGCACTACTGGTCAGACTGCTTCGTGGGAAAGCATGCCGGTCTTCAGTTTCAAATAATGGACCAGAAGCTGGTGGTGTTGCTGGGCCATCTTTGTCTTCTGTATCTTCCGTGTCAAAGGAAAGCTCGTTCACGTTACGGTGAATCAAGTACCGCAATGCATTATACCAGATATTATGTCTCTTTCTCGTAGGACATGTAATTTTGATAGACCTGTCTTGAGAACGGACGATAATACTCTTGTGGTATAACCCGGTAGGTAATGGATTGTTATCCTCAACACTTTCGACACCAACTATAGCAGCAGCCCTGGTTTTCACATCGGCTGGGTTGCCTAAAACAGGGTTAGAGGTGGACCAGTAAAGTGTCAACGTATATGGGTGAACCCAGAAGTACCTCTCATGCCTGGTCTCTGAAATTGCACTCAAGCCTCCCAAACGACGGTAGTACTTGAAAAGGTACTCACCTATAACAACCTGGGTAATAGCTGGAATCATGCTGGTGTCGGTAAGTGACACATTGGTGGCCATCGAAAAGATGTCTGCGGTTTGCAATGATGCATTGATACTCCGGGGCATCGATTGTAAAGATAAGTTGGACCGCATGGAGTGTGAGGTGGAAAGCGCTGGTGAATACCGACGTTGTTTGTCGGAAAACCTACTTGTTGCTGGAGGAGTGAAGACATCGGGAGATGGATGTGCAACGGTAGATAATTCGTCAATAGCACCCATGGTAGGTGGAGGTGTCGAAACGTCAGGTGTACGCATGTATCCTCTCTCTATAGCATGTTTTTCAAAGACTTCATCGCCAACATTGTTCATGTTGTCCGCCTTATTGCTGGTCAACTTTTTGAAGTAAGTTGTTGGAATGACAGTCACATTTTCCACGTCTGGTTCTTGTTCTACACTCAATGAAATGTAGGAACTTCTGGGGACGAGCAAAAAGCCACGTTGCTTTGCTATTCTCTTTAAGTCCTCTTCGTCCAAAGTTTCTTCAATTGTGTCCAATGACAGCGAAGAGCCTCTTCTTGTAATCGGTGCCATAGAGCGTGGAGTCTCTGATTTGACGGCTTCATTAGCTTTCACCAAAGTATATCCAAGGGCTTCGGCACTAAGTTGTAGTTCTTCTTCGCTCAAAACAAACGATGTTTCTGCGTCAGCGAAGGTCTCCGTACTATCTTGAGACTTCGACGCATATGAACCAGCAGATTTACTCTCGAGCCATGAACTCAAGTGTTCAATATCTGCTGGTGTAGGGTCGTCTTCATGAACAACGATATATCCGTTTTCTTTTGCTGTCTTCATTATCCTTTCAACATCCACTTCTTTTGCTTCCTCTGCTGTAATCACGGAATAACCTCGTTTCTCTAAAATATCTTTCAACTCGTCTGAGTTGTCAACAAGTTTGGAAAGGTGTTCAAGGTCGCTCGATCTACTCAATAAAGTCTCATACTCAGACCCAGCCAAGGCAACAAATCCTGCTTCTTTTGCCTTCTCTTCAATAGTTCGGTTGGCAGCTTCTTCCAAGTTTCGTAAATTCTCTTCCGAAACGATCGTATGGCCCGAGGCACTGCTCTTTTCTTTTAAGTATGAAAGTGATGGTGTGTCGATCTTTGCTTGCATCGCTTCCACATCGTCTCGCGTGATTATCACACAGCCTAACTCAGCTGCCTTGGCATCTAAAACAGTTCTGCCTGGGTTATTGAGAGCATCCTTAAGTGACTCAAGCTCTTCTTCGGGAATGGTGACGTACCCGTGGCCCAGTGCGCTTTGGGAGAGGAAGTCGATACTAGGGTTCTCAATCTGATCTCTAAGATTGAAAAGTAGATGGCTTTCAATTACCGACATGCCATGTACTGCAGCCTTATCCTTGATATAGTTAATGCTTGGATCATCAATAAGGTTTCTCAAAGCTTGCAATTGGTCGGTAGGTACAACTGCCAAATCCCTCTTCGACGCCATTTCTTCAATTTCAGAATGAGTAGGGTTTGATGCACGTTCTTTCAATGATCCCAATTCAGCAGTAGGAATCATTGCAAGACCTAGCAAAGAGCCCTTTTCTTGTAAGAAGGAATGGTGTGGTTCTCGTTCAATACTGCGAAGCTCGTCGAGCTCTTTGCTTGGTACAAGAGCCAACCCTTTGGCTGTTGCTTTAGCTTCCAAAGGTTCATTGCATACAGCTAAGAGAGTGTCGTAGTCATGTTCTGGCACTGTAATAAGACCGTTCATGCTTGCGTTTCTCTTAATCTCTTCGATGGTAGGTTTGTTGGCTTTGACAAGGAGATCGTCATATTCAGCACCGTTCAACAAAATCTTGTTGGCCCTCTCTGCCTTGATTTCCACCGATTCGTTGGCCCTCGACTTCAATTCGTCTAATGCTTCTTGTTCAATTGCAACATATCCGTGACTTGAAGCATTGTTGATTATCAAGTCAAGAGAAGGATTTTCGATTTCCTGCTCAAGCGACTTTTTGGAAGCAACAAGCTCATCAAATTCCTCGGCTGGCACGATCACCTTGCCTTGTTTAGCCGCCTGCACGTCCAAACCTTCTTCTGCAATTTGCTTAAGGTGCAGCAACTCAGTTGTCGTAATGATGGAGAGACCATTCTTGGAAGCATGCTCAGTCAACTTCGCAACAGATGGCTCGAGTAATTCCTTGTGAGAGTCCTCGTCAAGTACCACCTTTTTGCATCTTTCAGCTTTCTCCTCGAGTGTCTCACTTTCTGCACTTCGCAAGTGTTCAAGTTCTTTGTTGTCCACTAAAGTGTAGCCTAATGGAGTGGCCTTGGCACTGAGGTGGTCCAAATCAGGCGACTCCGCTTTAGCCACCATCTGCTCATAATCCAACGAGTCTACAACTCGCTTTCCATCTCTTGCAGCTTTAGTTTCTGTACTCTCATCAGCGCGCGAACGAAGAGTATCTAGTTCCTTTCTTGGTAGCATACTGAATCCCAAAGCGGAAACATAAGGGCCAATAAAATCCATCGAGGGCCGCTCTCCACGCGCCTTCAACTCATTGAATTCTTCGGCAGAAAGGAGACGCATGTTTTTCTCTTTAGCATGCTGCTCTAAGGTTTTCTCTGCCTTCTCGCGTAAGGAAGAATAATCAGTATGCGGCAAGACGATTGCTCCTAATTTCTCAGCCTTTGACTCTATTGGCTCGTCCGCAGCAGCTTTTAAGGACAAGAGTTCACTAACCCCAATCATATTCATGCTGTGGGTTTCCGCGTGCTTCTTTAATTCGTCGATTGACGGTTGCTTCAATCTCTTCCGCATATCCTCCAATTCCGTGACACTCATTAGCTCAAAATTCAATTCAGATGCCTTTTCCTTCAAATAGGTAATCTCAGGGTGCTCTAAAGAGTTCGTGAGCTCAGAGTACTGCTTCTCTGGAATCAAGAGACAGCCCCCCTTCTTCGCCCTACTCTCCAATGGTTCCTTTGCAATCGAGCGAATGTCATTTAACAGGTCAATTGGGATAATTGAATGACCGTGCTTTTCGGCCATCAGTGATACGACCTCAAGGCTGGGCTCGTTCGCTGTTTTCAAGAGTTGGTCATATTCCGCAGAATCTAACAAGGTTTTGTTTAAGGACGCTGCCCGGTGCTCGAGTGGTTCTTTTTTCGCTTCTACCAACTCACTGTATTCCACGGAATCAATGATCACCTTACCACTTGCATCAGCTTTCTCGCTAAGATAAGAAAGGGGAGGATCTTCATGGTTCTTGACAAGCTCAGACCATTCTTTGGCCTGCACTAGTTCATACCCCATATTTGCTGCGTGTTTCTTAAGTTCTTCACTAGTAGGATCACTCACTTTTCTCTTTAAAGACTCGTACTCCTCGTTACCAATCGCGATCAAGCCAAGCTCCGAGCTGAGTTGATCGATCGACCTTCCTGCCTTTTCACGAAGCTCATCGCATTCCTTCTTGTCGATAAGACAAAGATTGTAGGACTCTGCTTTGTCTGCCAAATACAGCTCAGATGGATTTTCAATTGACTTCGTCAAGTCTTTTGCCTCGCTTTGAAGCTGTGCTAGCTTAATAGCATTAGCCTCAGTTCTTTCTCTCTCGATTGTAAGGGATTCTTCGCTTGAAAGTAAGAGTGACTTATAGTTTGCAATGTCGTCGTTGAGTCCCTCTATTGTCTCCTTCTGCTCTGTCAATTTCGCTGCAGACATTGAATTGTCTTCCTTGAGTTTGGTTAACATGTCAGGCTGTATCAATTGTAATCCTGCTTCACTCGTCCTTTCCTCTAACAGCTTATTTGCTTTCTTATTAAGCTCATCGTGTTCTTGAAGCGTAATTGCCATGTAGCCCAAACTATCCAATTTCTCTACCAACAAAGATAAGGTTGGCCTTTCCACCTCGTCTCTAAGCTTGGCGTACGTTCCCAGAGAAAGAACAGTCATATTGGATTCCTTAGCAAGCTCTTCGATAGATTTGTTCGCCCTAGCTGCCAACTTCTCGTGATCATTCTTGGAGATAAGTAAATGGTTGTGAGATTCGGCTCCTGATTTGATATGCTCGATACCTGGATTCTTAGCCAAGGTTTCTAGAGCCAGGAACTCATCGCTAGTCATAACTTTGAGATCCATCAATCTGCCATTCTCTCTAATAAACTCTTCAGATGGGGTGTCAAGACTCTTCACCATTTCGTCGTACTTTGTTTGGTCAACCAATTTGAAATCATTCTTCTCCGCCTGAGCAGTCAAGAATGAAGAAGATGGGTTCGATGAAGTCAACTTGAGCGTTCTGTATTCATCAGAATCAACCAACACGCAGTCAAATTTCTTAGCTCTGCTTTCTAAGGTCAGTCTCGAGGGGTTTGCTAGCGACTCGTATGCGGTTCCCTCTATAACCTTACAGCCTAGAACCTCAGCTTTCTTAGTTAACTCTTCTGTTGTTGGGCTCTCTGCTTTCCTCTTGAGTTGTTGATAATCATCATTGTTAATCACGCTGCAGCCTTGCTTTTCTCCCATACTCTGCAACTGAGTTATCGATGGTTCTGTTGCTTTTTGAACGAGCTCCTCGTGCAAAGTGAGAGGTACGACAGTGGAATTAATATGTTTTGCGGCATCCATTAATTGTTCTTGAGTTGGGTTCCGTACTTTTTCAACTAATTTGTCGTACTCCTCAACTGGAAGCGTCTCCAATCCCAATCGTCTGGCGTCTTTTACAACCTTATCAAGGTTTGGTGAGCGCAACTGCTCCTTCAATCCTTGTAATTCACTGTCATCAACAGCTACCAAGTTCAATTTGGCACATGCATCCTCCAACTGCTTTCTTGATGGAGAATTGAGTTTTTCTTGAAGTCTCTCCAATTCCGTCCGTTCAATCAATGTATGGCCAGTTTTTTCCGCAGCAGCAGACAACTGCGTAACATCAGGATTGTGCACCCTTTCAAGAAGCTTCTGATACGCCGACTTCTCCACCGTTGCGTAATCATACTTCTTCAAGTGCTCTTTAAGCTGATCGAGAGAAGGCGATCTGAGAGATTTCAATTCGTCCAACGGCAATGACGCATGATCCATCGATTTCAATTTTTCATCGATATGGTCCTTAGGTGGATCATTCGCTAAAGCGTTCAATTGCTTGTACGTTTCAGAATCCACATGAACATACCCTCGAGCCTTCGAAAGTTTCAGCAAATGCTCAATATCGGGATTATGGGCCAATCTCTTGAGTTCTGTCAAATCGGTGGTAGGAAGGAGCTCCAACCCAAGTTTGTTTGCTTTGGTCCTCAAGAACTCCTCGGTAGGTTTTTCATTGGTCAGTTTCAAAGCTTCGAGATCCTTTGTGCTTATTCCCAGATAATGGTAGGTCGTTAACGAAGTAAGCACTCTTTCCAATGGTGGGTGATAAGCAAGATTTTCAAGCTCTTTGAGTTGCGATTTATCAACGAGTACTTTATCGAAGTGGTCTGCGTGCAATTTGATAGTTTCAAGTTCGGGCGATTCAACTGATTTCCTGAGCTTCGAGTATTCGGACTCGGCCAAAATGACCAGTTGATGCAATTTGGCATAATCCCTGACCTCTTGAATTGTAGGACTCGTCACCTTTCGAGTAAGTGTCTCGTGGTCCTTATTTGGGACTAAAACGTGGCCCATTCCATCCGCCAACTCTGACACAAAGTCGATCTTTCCAATTGAATCCAGCAACTTTGTGAGCGATGCAAGCTTTTCCCTCTCAACGAGCTCGTAGCCTAACTTAGTGGCATGATTTTCCAAGTGTTTTACATCTGGCGTTTCTGCATTCCGCTTCGTGATAGAAAACTTTTCAGTATCGATTACAGAAAAGCCCTTTTCTTGAGCCTTTTCTCGAAGAAAATTAATTGATGGAGTCTTTTGAATTGCACTGAGCTCGTCAAAAATGGTAGTCGAAATAATGACATGGTCCAAAGCGGCAGCCTTCGCTTCCAAACTCTGTAACGTTGGGTTGCTGATTTCCTCTTTCATGTCCTTCAACTCGTCAATCTCCACCATTTCATAGCCTAGCTTTCTCGATGCCTCAAGAACAAAGGTTTGCGAAGGGTTCAGTAGCTTTTCATTCAACTTTTCGATCTGAGAATCCAAGTCAGAAATATCCTCAGTCAACTTGTCATTGAGAGCTCTTAATTCGCTATTAGAGTTCTGTAAATGATCTACCTCCTCAGACTTTGCGCGTAGATTTTCCGACTTTGAACTTAATTCCAAAAGAACAGTCTGTAGTTTGGAAGAGTCCTCGCTTAACTTCGCAAATTCCTCAATAGTAATGACAGTTTGTCCTAATTCGCTTGTCACACGTTTGATAGCTTCAATGGAAGGACTAGCGGCTGCATCTTTCAAATCTTTGATATCTTTGGTTGCAAGAGATTCATGTTCAAACTTTTGCAACTTCTCTTGGAGATGATTCAAAGTGGGGTCATTTGCCAACATGCTAATACGCTCTAGCTCCTTTGTATCCAAAAGTGATAAGCCGAGTGCAGTGCACTTTTCCTCCAAATGAGATCTAGGTGGCTCATTGGCAAGCTTCTCAAGAGACTTCAACTCATCTACAGGTACAACCTGAAGATTCTGTTGATTCGCTTTCTCCTTAATATGCTTTATGCTTGGGTTATTGGCAAGGTTTTCGATTTCTTGGTACGCCTTAGCCTCCACCAATTTATGGCCACTTACAGCTGCCTTATCGCGAAGATAGCTGACAGATGGTTTGTCAAGTTTCCCATTCAAGTTGGTGTGCTCCTGAAGACTCATCACCACAAGGCCCTTCTGCTTAGCGAATTGTTCAATCTCTGTAGCTGCTGGATCATTGGCCTTCTTAAACAATTTTGAATACTCTTGTTTCAGCAAGTTGACCAAACCATGTTTGTCGGCGTGATATTTTATATGACTCAAACTTGGGCTGTTTGCATCTGAAAGTAACTTTTCATGATCTTGCTTCAGAACCAAAACGTGGTCTAATGAAGAAGCCTTCGTCAGCAACGCATCTACTGTAGGAAAATTGAGCTCTGATTTCATCGTTTCGTAATCCTTCAATGTAAGCAATTTATGGTCGTTCTTGTTCGCATGACTCTCAAGGAAAGAGATTGATGGGTTTGCTTGTATGTTTTTGAGCTCATCAAGCGCTGTCTTATCAATAGTCTCCAAATTGAGTTCGGCTGCTCTTTGACGCAAGAAAGGTTCGGTTGGGTTCATAAATAACTCATGATCTTTTATGGGAAGAATTGCGAAACCAATTTTATGCGCAGCTTCCTGGATCATCTCCTTGCTTGGGTGAATCAACTTTGAGTAGTCCTCCATTTTTATTATTTTGAAGTTGAGTTTCTGGGCGTATTTTCTGACTTCTTCCTCCGTCGGCTTGGTGGTTTTCTGTGTGAGCGTCGCAACGGTCGATTTGAGGCTCTTGTAGTCAGCTTCGGGTATGAGGGTGTGATTCAATTTTGCAGCACATGATTCGAGGTGTGATAATTCCGGATTTTGCAACCTTGCAAGATCCTCATACAATTTGTTGTTGGCATCTTCGGATACCATCACGTATTTGTGTGATGCGGCTTTAGCTTCCAAATATTCTAAAGATGGCTCCATAAAAGATTGTTGATCTTTCATTAGCTTCTCGTGTTCAACTTCGGGGATCGTCACCAACCCTCTCAGACGGAGCTTTTTGCGCATTTCGGTTTCATCGATTAATTCGTTGTACTCTTCACGGGTCAAAGTCTTAAGTCCTCTTGTGTCGGCTTCTTCTATTAATGCTTTCTGTGAAACCGATCGTATGTCTGATGAACAGAGATCATCGTACCGTTCTTTATCTAAGAGAACCAAACCTTTGGAATCAGCGTAATTTTTCATCTCAGATTCTCTTTGAAGTGAAGATGTCTCAGTCACATCCGATTCGGAATCGGAGTCCAACTGAGGTACGTTCTCAGTGAAATTGGAAGATGCGGGTCTCTCCAGCTTCGTGGATTTTGAGGGTGAAGTCTCGTTGATTCCCGCCATGAACTCATCCCATTCATTGGGTTCAGCAGAATCTTCATCCACAACGATAAGCTTAGATTTTCTATTTGATGGTGTGATCGACTCAAAAGGATGTTCTGAGCTGTTATTAGTCGTGAGTTTGGCTGAGGGTGAAGCTTGCTTCAAAGATTTCGATTCTTCCAATTGCTTCAAGAAGGACGAGCGAAGCTTTGAAATAACCTTATGAGCATAATTGAGGTTAGCACTCAACGATTCTGCCCGGAGATTTGCGTCAACATCTTCTCTGAAAGATACAGTAGGAAGACTGAATGAATTGTCTAGAATGCTTTCGAGGCTCACATCAACATTATCTTCAGGTAATGATACTGGAATCGTTTCCTTTGTCACCTCCTGTGACGAGGGTTCGAAACTCTTCAATTTTTTGTGTAGCTCGTCATTCTCATCGTTTAAAACATGGATCCTATTGTTGAGCTCTTTTCTTTCAGACTTAAATGCCAGTTTGAGGTTCAGCAATTCCTGAGTAGCCTGGAAATTCTTTACTTTCAATTCGTCATACTCCTTTTGAATTGTTTCGAGTTTTTCACTTTCGTCCTGACTCTCTTGGGTCAATTTAGCATTGGACTTGGTAAGGGTATTATTCTGTTCTTGTAGGGTAGTAACAGCAGATTCTAGCTCCCAATTCTTATCTTTTAATGCCAGCTCTTTGGAGGACAGCGACTCGTACGACGCCTTCAATCTTAACATTTGGTTCTTGACATCCTGAAGTTCTTCTGCAGCCGCCTTGGCTCTCGACTTATACTTGCGACTTTCTGCCGTGAGTCTACGGCACTCGGCCAACAAGTTTTCACTGAGTCCAACCACAAAGTTCATGTCGTTTCCTTTGGTGTCGGGACCCAAAGTTGGCGTAGCAGTTGCTATTGACGTCGATCTAGAATTGGAAGTTTTGGCAGCATTGGGATCAGTTCTTAATATGTTTTCCTGGCTCTTCAAAGGCTCCTTCTTCGGCGCGTCAGGTTTGCGGAATAACCTCAGTTGGATATCCGACAACTGACCCCGAATGTCTTCTTTGGGGTTCCTTGACATGGTAGTTCAGATTCAATTAACGACTTTTTCTCCGTATGGAAAATTAGCTAATCTGAGAGTATATGAGTTATAAGCTCCAAGTTATGGAAGCCTAAGATGAAGCAAAGTGTAGCAGTCTAAATGCAAATATTGGTTAAAGTTATATGTACGTTTATGATCTCATTTACATAAACAAACGTGTATGGCACAAAAAAAGTGAGGTGGTGATTCGCTTGCTTAAGCTGCGTCTTTTTCTGCGGCTTGCGCCGCAGCTTTCGCAGCCGCTTTCTGCTTCCTCTTCCCAATTGTCTTTTGGAACCAGGTTATCCAGAATGGAAGCGTCAAATATTGAAACACTACCCAACCGACAAGAATTCCAAAATTGTATCCCAACTTTCCTTTCCAGGTATTGAACAAAATCACCTTGGATATTTCTGAAGATGCATGGATGGGCATTGCGTAACCATATTTGAACACGCCAGGAAGGAGTTCGAAGGGAGCAAATGTTGGAGAGATGTTGACAAGCACCCACAAAATAAGCCAGTATCCCACCAATGGCGGATAAACGACTATAAGGATCATGGCCATGATTTCATTTGCAAGTCCAACGGCTGCAAATGTAAGGAAGCACACCATCCAGTATACCAAGAAACCAGCATGACCAAAAGCAACTCTAAAGTCAATTTGCATTGCCAACGACACGAAACTAAAGAACAAGGACAACACAAAATATGAAAGAGTCGACGATAAAATCCGGTATCCAAGATAATGTCGGCGCTTGAGATTGAACGACAGTTCCACCACGAGATGGACATCACTGAAAAAACCCACCTGGAAGAATGTCAAGATGATCATATAGATTAGACCCACTTGGTTAGGTGCCACTAACACAGGGTTGGTGTATTCAATAATGTCATAGTAGGCAAACGTGAGAGGGGTGGTTGCGAGTCTTACCGAGTTTCTATTAGAAAGAACGTCGGATGAATTGTCCATATTTTCGATTAATGCCAGGGTCACGTTCGGTTGAGCCGCTAACCATAACTTCTCTATGGCATTTATACTGGGATGCACATACTGGGCCATGTTTAAAAAGTCACGACCTGTCTCATAAATCAGGACAATGGTATTATTGGTGGCATTATACGATGCATCTCCCTGTTGTATCGCTTGGTAAAGGTTATATGAAGCATTGGGTTTGATGTAGATAGACGACCAATACTTCTGATGATGGATAATTCGCTCAATCTCTTGTTCTACCGAATTGTTGTTATGTTTTAAACCCAGTTCTCGAATATCGTTATAGGTGCGAATATCCCATGTACCATAATGTTTGGCTGTGGTGGTGTTGAGAAGCGACCTCATTTCGTTTCCAATGACAGGCTCGACCCCATTTATCGTCTCCGAGTCACCCATAACCACCAACATATGGAAGTTTTTGATCTTATCGTTCCTCTTGTACAGGGCACCCCAGTAAATGGAGAATATACCAAGGGTCAAGACTCCCATCATGACATAGATCAACACAAACTTGATTCCTAAACGAGACCTTTGCGCCCTCAACGACTGGTTAAAAAACGAATACCTCGATTGCACCTTCTCCAATATCGATTGGCGTCTGGAAAGGTTCCGAGAAGCTTGGTCATCGCTATCGTCATACTGCTGAGATTCCCCGCCTGTGAAAGCCACTGGTTCTACAGGACGCTCGCCTGTGCTGTCCGTCAGTTGACCTGACGATATCGACTGCTTTCCCTGTTCCATTGCCTCAAGAATATGGACTTGAAGGGCTCAAGTATTTATTATATACGCTTTCGAAAAATAAACGCTTGTGCATAATTCTGCATAGGGCGTGCGGCCCGGCATAACCGGATTGTGTCAAAATTGCACTTAGTAATACATCAAAGGTGGCACAATGAAATTTTTAAAAGCCAAATAATAGGTTATAAGCCTCGTGGCTACCGTATGTTCGATAATTAGTGACATTGACCCACTGTAAACTCTTGGTGTTCTTGTCCATTTACTCTTATCTTTTCGCACCTCTATTTTCCAATGCCTTCGCGCGGCTGAGCTTCGGTGGACTAGCGGAAGACATTTATCATCAATGTTGTGAATTAGTCAGCGGAAATGCAGTGGTAAGGACGCAAAATCATCTAGATAAGACTGAGCGCACTCTTCGTTGACAAGTGATGTCATCCAAATACCCCCTTCTGCGTCATCGAAAACAACCTTGCATTTCGGCTATGAAGCTCTTCGGCCGAAACATCGGTTGGCCGAAACGTCGGTTTCTCAGCCGTTGCATTTTCTTCGGCGGTTAAGTCCCGTGTGTATTAGTGCTATATTTGGCACTTAGATACACAGTTTGAATGCAGGCAGATGGCTAACGGGACGAGAGGCACTTAAAGAACGCAAAATAGCGCAAAGCGCGAATCACTGATTTCTTGTTATCAACCACGGACAAAACAGAAATTGTTCGTCTTGCAAGTAGACTATGCGATTGCAAAAGTAGATAAAGTAGCTTAGAGTCGGTTCCAGAATATTCTGCTGAGTGTTTTCATTTTGCATTTTTTAGGTATTCACAACTTTTTAATGCTTAGGTTGCACCTCGTAAGTCGTGAAGGTCAATGCACCAAAATATCAATTATTAGTTTGGCTTGAGTTCGAGAAGTACGCAACGATGAAATAATGATATGTTTTACAGCTGTGTACTAGTACACCGTACTTGACTTACAAATCCAGAATAAATCCTCGCTGTCAAGTAAACCTTGGGCAGTACACCAGTACTCACAAACGTCCAACTTGATCAATTTCAAGACTTCTCTCTTCAAAAATAGCTTTGGTGAAGTAGACTACAATTTGCCTTCTTTATTCTTTGATAATAAGGAAACGTGCTGTGCAAAGCCTCAGCGGCAGCATTCCGTATGGCCTGTATCCAACCCGCGAACAGATCGTTGATATTTTTCCTGTACACTGGCTAGGCGACAAGATGGAGGTGAAGACCTCAGGAAACGACTTTGGCGTCTCTCGAAATGACCTTAGGAGACGTAACCTTGCTTCTGAACAGGACGAGGTGGAGGAGATTATCCAAAAAACCTCCAATCTTCATATTGACACGAAAACAAAATCTCGCGGCATAGCCTGGTTCTGGAAAACTTATGGTTCCATTTTAATTTTGACATTATTATCGGCCTTTGTTCGGTTGTATAGAATCAATGCCTCCAATCAAGTGGTGTGGGATGAGGCGCATTTTGGAAAGTTTGGTTCCCATTATCTTAAACGAGAATTTTATTTTGATGTTCATCCACCACTTGGAAAATTGTTAGTGGGATTGTCTGGTTATATTGCAGATTACGAGGGCAACTTCCTGTTTGAGAGCGGTGAAATCTTTCCTGATGATTGCAATTATGTTATCATGCGAGTTTTCAATTGTATGTTTGGTATCTTATGTACACCATTGGCCTACAAGACGGCGGTGCTAGCTGGTTACAATACGTGGACGGTATGGCTCATTTCGTTGATGGTGATTTTTGAGATGATTTCTTTGACATTATCCAAGTTTATTTTGTTGGATTCAATGCTTCTTTTCTTCACCGTACTTTGCTACTTTTGTCTCGTGAAAATTCATATGCTTCGTGTTCAGCAGAAACTCTTGACTAAAATGGGCTTTAAGTGGTTTCTTATCACAGGTATGTCAATTGGTTGTGTTTGTTCGGTTAAATGGGTTGGTTTGTTTGTCACTGCCTTGGTAGGCTTTTACATCATTTACGATTTGCTTATCAAGTTTTACCAGGTTACAAGCACCAAAAATAGCCTTTCATTCGCACAGTACTTGAAGCATTGGTTTGTGAGAATCGTGACATTGATAATTGTTCCTTTTCTAATCTATTTGGCTTGCTTCAAGGTTCATTTCCTCGTCCTTAACAGCTCAGGTACAGGTGACGGTTCCGTATCGACGTTGCTCCAAGCATCCTTGAAAAATAATGGGATAGAGTACGGTCCTCGTTCTATAGCGTTTGGCTCACTAGTCACTTTACGTTCTCAAGGTCTCTCTCCAAATTTGTTGCATTCCCATCCACATGTATATCCGCAAGGTTCACAACAGCAGCAGATTACCACCTACGGGTTCAAGGACGACAATAATCAGTTCATCATTGAGTTTGACTTGGAAGCTGGTGCTAGAGGAGAGTTTGCTTCGATGGAGCCTCTTGACAACCAAAGTTACTCCTTCACAACCTTGGTGAAAAATGGCGATACTATTAGGTTGCTCCATAAGCTCAGCGGGTGCCTTTTACATTCGCATATGATTCCATCTTTTATTCTGACTTCACAGAAGGAAGTGTCTTGTTATTCGGATCTTGAAGGCAGCGATGAAAAGGACGAATGGGTGGTGGAAATTCAGGAACAAGACCAGCCATTATCACCAGAACATCAGAATGAAGCTCCCGATGAAGTGCATCCTATCACGACAAACTTTCGTTTACGTCACAAAGTTTTAGGGTGTTATTTGGCAACTACTGGCTACTCTTATCCAGCTTGGGGTTACCAACAGGGTGAAGTAGTGTGCAAGCATACTCTTCTTAGTAGAGACAAGAGCACTTGGTGGAATGTGGAGGACCACAAGAACGATGCACTTCCACAACCAGAAGCCGAGTTCATTCCACCAAAACCCAAATTTTGGAAAGAGTTTGTGCTCATAAATTATGGGATGATGGCCTCGAATAGCGCACTTGTTCCCGATCCCGATAAATTCGACAAGTTATCTTCTGAATGGTGGGAATGGCCTATAACCAGAAGCGGCCTTCGTATGTGTGGTTGGGGCATGTCGGTAACGAAATATTTCTTGGTTGGGCATCCTCTAATCAACTGGTTTTCTACATTCTGTTTGCTCGTGAGTTTGATATACTTCAGTGTCAAGTTGTGGCGTTGGCAGCGTCAAAGGGATTACTATCCAAATGGGGTGTTCAGCGTCCAGTGGGATTCACTTATAGTGCAAGGAATATTGCCCATATTGGGGTGGATACTTCATTATTTGCCGTTTGTTGCAATGTCCAGGGTTACTTATGTCCATCACTACGCTCCAGCATTGTATTTTGCAATCTTTGTTACTGGATTTGTTGTGGAAAGAGTAGTCTATAACCACTTGAACAGAACGATTGCAAGAGGTTTCTACATTATCCTTTATTTGGCTATAATTCTTGGGTTTATATACTTGAAGGATCTTGCCTTTGGAATGGAGGGACCGTCGAATGCCTATCGTCACCTCAAGGTCCTCAGCACCTGGATGATCTAGATATACATGGTGGTGATCAATGGAGTTCCTGCACACATACCATGACAGAGTCCGATTTCGCACTAGAAAATTTACATCAGTAATATACACTTCTACGATCGTTTAGACACTTTTGTTTTTCAAGCTTCAGAGACTAAAAATATTAGAGACTACGAACATCAGAACGTAATGGAGAGCTACGAGAACGAGTACATTGAGGATGGAGAAGACTTAGAGCTTTCCCAACACCGACCCGAGACTGCCTCACAGAGCCAACCTGAGACACAAAACGTCGTTGATGAAGCCGAATTACTTGCCGCTCAGGCTGCTGCTGAGGAGGCCGCAGCGCAACAGCAGCACCAGCCAGGCGGTGCCTTTCACAACGTAGGTCAAGGTTTGACCGGAAGATATCGTGATATGATGATGCAGTACTGGCAAGAAACGATCAACTCGATCGAGCACGATGACCACGATTTCAAAAACCACCAGCTTCCGTTGGCCAGAATCAAAAAAGTGATGAAGACAGACGAAGATGTGAAAATGATCAGTGCTGAAGCACCTATTTTGTTTGCCAAAGGGTGCGATGTGTTCATAACGGAATTGACCATGAGAGCGTGGATACATGCCGAAGAGAATAAGAGAAGAACGTTGCAGAAATCTGATATAGCAGCTGCACTTACTAAGAGTGACATGTTTGACTTTTTAATCGATGTGGTTCCACGAGAAGAAGAAAAACCAAAAAAAGCAGCCTACATGAGTGCTGCCATGTCTCGACCCACTTACAGCACCAATTACTCACATCATCAGGTTCAACTTGCTCACCCTCTGCAAGAAGCTGTCAATGGTGACGCTTCGATCAAGAACGGAGCACAGCCCATTGAAGGCACTAGCAGTGAATTGCACGAGCAAGAAGTCAAGTCCGAAGAAATTGCACAAGAAGAACTGTATACTAATAATCACGAGGCTTCGAGAACCGGCTCACAAACTTTGGAGCAAGATGAAGGTTTTGGAGAGATACCGTGAAAACAAAAAATAGAGAGGAACTCAAAGTATATCACTGCATTTTGACAGCGAATTGACCCGCAAGTCATTTGAGCCACATTGTGGGGTTTTAGGTATGGCGTTAACTGGCCACGGCCGAAGCGGTTATCCTGCACAAAAACCATTGCTACCCCCGGCGAATGATATAAATTGCAAAGAATTGGTGCGAATATAAATTGAATGGAGGACTATGCTCAATTGTTTGAGAACCGGATTTATCAAACATAAAGTAGCTTATCGTTCTATCCCCAGATTCAATCTCAGCAAACATACACCTTCCAGAGTATCAGCAATGACATTGGTTACTATTTCGCAATCGTTAGATGAAGCTTATGTTAAGCATAAAATCATTCCGGACGTGGTTGACAAGTTCGACACCGAGGGATTGTTGACTATCGAGTACAATGGAAAAGATCAAGTGGCATTGGGAAACACATTGAAGGTTGCCGAAACCCAAGAAAGACCCACAATTCAATTCACGCTCAATTCTCTGGGCCAGGAGGAAGAAATGCTGGTGGCAGATAAAGACCGTTTCACGTTGATTTTGACCGACCCAGATGCACCATCTAACACTGACCATAAGTGGTCTGAGTATGCCCATTGGATTGTCACAGACTTGCCTTTGAATGCTACTGGCAAAGATGCCGAGTCGCTCAGCACAATTCTCGACTACAAGAAGGGCAAGGAAATCTTACCTTACGTTGGCCCTGCACCACCTGAGGGAACTGGTAAACATCGTTATGTTTTCCTACTTTACAAGCAGGACCCAGCAGCACTGCTCGCGGCACCCAAGGATAGACCAAACTGGGGCACTGGTGTCCCATCGTCTGGCGTTAGAGACTGGATCAAGAAAAACGGGGGTAAGCTGCAATTGTTGGGAGTGAACTTTTTTTACGCCCAGAATGAAAAGCAATGAACGTATATTATGAACGGTAATAGATACTGATACTACAAATTAGCCCCTTCTCTGCCGACTATAATCCCTAGGACTCACAACCAAACCCTTTCCTTTGTGTGCTCCTCTGTAAATCGTTTCTATGATATCAATAAGTTCCTGCTTTTCCGTTAGTCGAAAGTTGAGCTTATTATTATTTCCAGTTCCAAAATCACACATCATATGCTTATTTCGATAAAAAAACATCACTGTGCACGGATCATAGAGCTCATACATGGTGTTAAAATCGGGCACCTCATCAGTATCACATAAATATATAGCCGCAAAATTACGCACCTTCTCGGCCACCCCATATAATAGCTCATCCATTATCATACATTCCTTATCATTATCTTTTCCAAATCGTATAACAACAAGTCTTTCATCCTCTGAGAGAATAGCTTGGTCTACGTGCCAGCCGGTATGCAAATGCGGAAGAAAAACAGATCCCATGAATGCAAGTAGAAGAAAGAAGAGGAATATCGATGAGCGCGCAAACACCGCGCTTCGTGCGGCGGTGAGGGTTCCAAAATATTTTGCACCCACCACAAATACCAACATCATGCCTCCCGATCACCTTGATGGAAAGCCCACACCAGGAATCTTGACCACTTTTGACTTTCTACCGCCAGCTCAAAAAGCAACTTTCAACGTTCAGCTCGATATGCTACGGTCACAAAAAGACTTTCCACTCTCACGCAAATGGATAGTGTATTTTACGAAAAGGGGCAAGACAGCCATTACAGAACTCGAGCGAGTGTTCGCTTCCAAGGAGGACTATGTCCATGGATTTCGGGACCTTCAACAAAAATGGAGCCGAAATATCCAGATCGAACAAATCCATGTTATGAGAATGGGGTTCTACCCGAAACGCAAGTCAATGTTGTTCGAAACAGGAGGCACGATGGAAATCAAGGTTTCAAGTGAGGATTGGGGCAAGTTTGAAGCCATTGTGGCGGAAATGCTTGAAGACAAAAGTAAGTAATAATTCAAAGTGAATTTGACCAGTGCTAACTCAGTACCTGCTGCCGGCAGCTCATTGAAGAGAAAAGCGACCTATCACGTTCTAACAATCTGGTTTGCTGAAAACATCAATAAGAATATCCAAAATGGTATACTTCGAGCAATTAATGATTTTTCTTGCCATATAGTTTGGATTGAGCATGGCACTAGTAAGATTACGTATATTCAGTGAAATGCAAAATCTGAAATTTACATATAATCAAGTGAAAGACAAACGCTACCAGTCAGTTTCATCCCCATTACAACCTCCTTTACTGACTCACTTACTATCGATTCTTACTCGGTGCTACAAGCACTGTTAGAATATACATAATCAAGGCATGTTGAATATGCAGGTTCAAAGATGATCCCTAGCTATGTTTTACAATTTATCATTGGTGATTACATGTATTTCAGCAACCTTAACACAAAGAGATTTATTCATCGACTGTTTGGGCTCACAAGTCAGCAAGTATAACATTGATTACCACGATAACTGTATACACATGATCCTGTCAAGTTACGCTTTCTTGACTCATCAAAAGATAGGCAACTAAACCTATGTCTTCAAAGTGATCACATTACTTCCAATTTTCAACAGATTTATGGTCAAATAACAACACTGAAAGAACAGAAATGACGGACAACACAGAAAATTTGATAATAAATGACCGAAGGCTCTCTCGATATTAGGAATCGACATAACTCATCAACCGTTCATATTATACTGAATAAAGCTTCAGACATCTTTTTCTCTGTATATCAGATGAAGACAGAAGCTGTAAGGGAGCATAAGATATTCAGACCCTACAATTCACCAGACCCATAGTGACCCAAATCGGAATCAGTTCCAATAAACCTGTATATTGGCCCCAGAAATTCGAGTTTAAAATCTTCATTCTACAATCTTCACCATGACCACCGAAATTGATTTGGGCATTACTGCCGATATGCATGTCCATCTTCGGGACGGCAGAATGATGGAGCTTATAACGCCAACCGTCAGAGAAGGAGGTGTTTCCATTGCTTATGTGATGCCCAATTTGGTGCCTCCCATTACAACCTTAAAACAGGTTATTGATTACAAGAAAAAGTTGCAACAGTTAGCACCCAAGACCACATTTCTCATGTCTTTCTATCTCAGTAAAGAGCTCTCTCCCGAACTCATTCATGAGGCAGCAAAATTAGGTGCTATTCATGGAGTGAAATGCTACCCTGCTGGAGTCACTACCAACTCGTCTGCTGGTGTGGATCCCAATGACTTTACTCCATTTTACCCCATTTTCAAAGCGCTCGAGGAGGAAAATCTCGTATTGAATCTTCACGGAGAAAGACCACCCAGTAAAGATGACGGTGAAGATATTCACGTATTAAATGCTGAGCCACTCTTTTTACCAGCACTTCGAAAATTGCATGAAGACTTTCCACGACTCAAGATCATCTTGGAACACTGTACCACGAGGGCTGCCATTGAGACGATCGAGGATATAAACAAGAACTACAAAGAAGGTGATGACATCAAAGTTGCAGCAACGATTACTGCGCACCATCTTCTGCTCACTATTGATAACTGGGCAGGAAATCCCATCAATTTCTGCAAGCCGGTGGCCAAACTACCTGACGACAAGAGAGCATTAGTTGCAGCCGCTACTTCAGGAAAACCATATTTCTTTTTTGGATCGGATTCGGCACCTCATCCCATAGACGCAAAAGCTCGTCATGTCGGAGTATGTGCCGGAGTCTACACCCAGTCACACGCCATCTCCTACGTTGCCAGCATCTTTGAAAAACACCAGGCACTCGACAACATCAAAGGATTTGTGGCAGATTTTGGAAAAAAGTTCTACGAAATAGAGGAAAAAGATGTCGTAAACCACGACCACTGTGTGCTCGTTAAGCGAGAAATTACAGTGCCCCAAGTAATTGGTGCGGACGGTTTGAACGTTGTTCCATTCTTGGCGGGTGAAGCACTTCAGTGGTCTGTGCAGTGGAAGTAACACGTGGGTGGGCTTACCATGTGGGTAAATGATTCGAAGGTAGGTACACGGCAATTGTAGTCATTGGTATGTACGTATTAAATAAATCAATGCAGTTTGGGCCCTATAGACTTTACTCACATAAATAACAAGGTTGCTAATCGGAATTTAAATTTACGAATCGCTAATCGTGGAAGATTCTCGATAGGGAAATCAGATGCCGTGCAGATTGTCGTGCCGTGCCAGTGGTGGCTTGTACATACTGCCTGCAGGACACCAATAAAATTTTTGACAAAAGTACGAGGCGGCAGTTGTGAGGGGAATGGGGTTAACATAGCCGAGATACATTAGGCGTCATGATAAGCCGTATTATATTGTCTTCGTATCGGTAATTGTTATTGCGAGAAAATCACCGATACCGAAGTGACTTTGACTTCGGCCAAGTCCTGCGCATAATTGACGTATGCAGCTGTCAAACAATTGACATTGACAGTTTAATTCGCTTAAACCGGAATTTGCTCAACCGAGTCAGATACAGTCGATTCGTTTAGTAAACGATAAGAAAATACACCGTTGACGCCGCCTTCATGTTTGAGCCGCCAATCTTGCAGCTTTGGCCCCAACACTGCTGTCCTGCATCGACCACGTTTCCCTTTATCAGCTAAAACATCCATATATAAAGGTGCAGCGCGCATAAAACGTTCCCCTCTAATCTCTGGTGCGTGCCAAGGAACGCGAGTAATAGAAAAGGCAAACTAATCTATATATTTGTTCACTTTTTGTAAGCTCTTCAGTAGAAATGGCTACCAGAGATCTTCCTCACTCGTTCTCCGACTTTGCCTTTGGCTGGTCGAAGCACTTGCCCCAAGAGATCACAGTTACGAAGGCTTATAAGCAGAAACAAGCCGAAAGAAGAGAGCGTGATGCTCAAATATTGGCTGCCAGACGGCTCTCAGACTCGAGTTCTGGTCATGAAGTTGACGGGGCTGGCAAAGTCGTTAAACCCACTCTGGATATCGACCCCAACTTACCTGTATATGAAGAGGTAGATAAGGTCAAGATGAAAAACTTGTGGCCCGCATTCGCATCAGGTGCGGGATTGTTTTCCGATGGTTACATCAACAATGGTATGTCTGCCGTAAATGCTTGTTTGACAAGAATTTATGGTAAGAAATATACCAACTCCAATGCCATGTCAAATGTTTCCTCGATTGCATTCGTGGGTATTGTCGTGGGTCAGTTAGGTTTTGGCTACATTTCCGATCGTGTTGCAAGAAAGGGTGGAATGTTGACGGCTACATTCATGTTAATCTTCTTCTCGTTGTTGTGCGCCGTTGGAACATGGGGTGCTAACGGAAGTGCCGAGGGCTTATTTGCATCACTTACTGCCTTTAGATTCTTCTTGGGTATTGCTATTGGTGCTGAATATCCAACTTCGTCTGTTATTGCCTCGGAATTTGCTAATCAACTTCCAGCGGGAAGAAGAAACAGATACTTCTGCTGGTTTACCAATGCTATGATTGATTTTGGATACGTTGTCAGTGCTTTCGTTCCTTTGGTGTTGCTTTGGATCTTTTCCACTCGTCACTTGACTGCCGTTTGGAGATTAACTTTGGGTTTGGGTTGTATTCCACCATTATCATTGCTTTTCTTCAGATTGAAACTCAAGGATGGTGAAGCTTTCCAAAAAACTAACATGAAGAGAGTCAAGAAATACCCTTACTGGCTCATCATCAAATTCTACTGGTTCCGTCTTACCATTGTGTCGCTCATTTGGTTCATTTACGATTTCTCCGTCTACGCTTTCGGAACTTACTCAACAAATATTCTTGCTACCTTGGTTCCACCTGGAGATATGTACAAGTCATTTGGATGGAACGTTGTCCTCAACTTGTTCTACATGCCAGGTGCCTTCCTTGGTGCCCTTTCCGCTGATTACATTGGCCCACGTTTGACAATTGCCATTGGTGTTGGTCTCCAAGGTGTTATTGGATTCTGTATGGCAGGTAAATACGAATCTTTGGCCCATCCAGTCGGTGGTTTCGTTGTTGTCTTTGGAATTTTCTACTCTCTTGGTGAGTTTGGACCAGGTGACAACTTGGGTCTCTTGGCCTCGAAGACTTCTGCTACCCCTGTTCGTGGACAATATTACGGTATTGCTGCTGCTGTGGGAAAAATCGGTGCCTTTGTTGGTACTTGGGTTTTCCCAGTTATCCAGAGACATCTTGGTGAAATCAAGGGTCCAGTCTACATTTCTTCTGGTTTGTGTTTCTTCTCAGCATTCTTGGCTATTTTCTTCTGTCCATCTGTTAGTCAGGACTGTATTGAAGAAGAAGATCAAGCCTTCTTGGCATATCTCGAATCGAATGGATATGACATTAGCCAGTTGGGTGACCCTGGAGTTGTTGAAGATGTGGAAAGCAGTGCTTCCAACATCTCCAGCCCCAACAAGGAATCTGACATTCAGGTCCATGCTACCAAGAAGGATAGCGCTTAGGGCTTTACACCGCTTCAAATTCGTCGTTAAATAATTTATCAAGTGCAATTAATAACAAAACCTATTACTAAACCTATCTCTAAATTACACATTAGTTTTCATTGTCGCTTTTCTCTGCCGAACTCTCAGAGTCGATAGCGATGTCTACCACATTAGAATTCAGGTCAATTTTTTCACCTTCGTTTGGGATAATCAACTCTAATCCGCCATCCTCTATGAATTTGGCTTTTATTTCATCAAACTTTATAATCTTCTCAAACTGGAAGTGCTTCTCAAAATTGATTTCTTGATTGGCGAAATCCTTGATGAGACGAACAGCATCCTCTTGAACTTCGGACTCGAGGTCAGAGCTCGAATCTTCAGCTTCAGCTTCGGCTTCGGACTCTGAATCAGATGAAGAAGAGTCAGAGGAGCTCGAAGATGAAGAAGAGGAAGAGGATGATGATGATGAAGAAGAAGAAGAAGAAGAAGAAGATGAAGATGAAGACGAGGATCCACTAGCGGCACTATCCTGAGATGCACTGGAAGAAACCGACGAGTCAGATTCTTCGGCAGCTTCTTCATCCTCTTCAACGACTTCTACATCCGAATCTTCCAAATCAGAATCGTGGATGTCAAATTTTCCACTGACAACCAACTCGTTTTGGTTTTTCAAGAATTGGATTTTCAATTCTTCGCGAATCAATGCTGGGAACCTCAAGTTCAACTTGTAAGTTTTGTCATCGAGCTCAACCAACTCACAGTCCTTCGAGTTTTGTAAGTCTTCCGTCAAGTCAATGACCTCGATGTCATCGTCTGAATCATTTGCAAGCAAGTATTCGTCTTCAGTGTCGTAAATCAATTCATCGTCAGTAGAGTATTCCTCGCTTGAATCATGTTCAGGCAAGTCGAAGCGGTGTCTGTAAAGTGTGATGCCTTCTTCGTCGTCACTGGAGGAATCGCTAAGGTCTGACAATGCGAGCGCCTCCTCATCAGAGTCCTCTGATTCCATCTCGATATCGGAGTCGAGGACTAAGTAATCAATGTCAGACTCAGACTGTGATACGGATATCTCATCATCACTAGCGATCATATCGACATAATCTTGTCTCACTTTTTCGAGTTGCAATTGGTCGTTCAACTGACCTTCATCAGAAGAATATTCGATGTCTAAGTCAGTAACGGAGGAGTCGTCAGAATCGTCATCACCCAAAGCAATTTGTCTCATGGCTCTGGCTTGCAACTGATCATTCAAGTCGACTATGTCGAGTATGTCCTCAGGCTCAGAGTCAGAATCGTAATATCTGACAAGCTCATCATTCAAGTCATAAACGTCAGAATAGTCAAGGCTGTCCACAGCATCAGCTTCCAACTCGTCATTCATGTCAATGATTTGATCCTCGATGTCGGAATCCAAGTCGAATTCATAAACCTCCTCATCAGACGTGGAGTCAGAGTCGGAGCTTTCAGAACTCTCTGAACTGGATGCCTCGCTCTGGTTTCCAAGTATGATGATAGAGCTTTCCGAGTCAGAAGAGTCGCTCTCCGACAGCGATTCGCTTGAACTGGAGGATGAGGTTGCAAGGTCATCGTAAAACATAATAGGAGCATCAGAATCTGAGTCGGAACTAGAGCTGGAGTCTGAAGACGAAGAATCCGAGTCAGAGTCAGAGCTGGAGTCGCTAGAGTCAGAGCTGCTGCTTTCAACATCTGATTCTGTTCCACTTTGGCTCTCTTCTGAGTAGCTAGTTTCGGACTCACTTTCTGGTTCTTCAACGTAAACCAAGTTGGAAGGTTGTTGCTGATAGTAGTTTCTATAGGATCTTCTTCTCTTGGTGGAAGGTTTAGTCACGTAGTATTTCTTCTCATGGTGACGGGGAGATTTGTGTTCTCTTCTTCTATGTCTAAAGCTTGCCATTTTGTAGTATAAGATGAGAAAAAAATTTCTGGTGAACTAAAGTGCAATTAAACGAAAAGAGAAATGGGTGGCGTGGGGCTGCGATGGGCATCGCGAAAAAAATGTCATACTGCATACGACCCTTAAGGTGTGGAGTTATCTTCTCTACGAAGGTGTAAATCAAATGAAAAGTTAGCAGAAAAAAGAGTATCGAGAGAAAAGGACCAGAATTGACCTCTAAAGGTCCCTGTCATACCAAATTTGAGAAAAGATGATAGTTCACTAGTTGTCTTAATTGTCCACAGCCAGCCCATATGTTCCCGGTGTGAACACGACCTCTGGGGTATAAAAGGCTCGCGATTCCCATTTCGCACCTCAAATCTCTTTGCCTTTTGGCTTAGATCAAGTGTAGTATCTGTTCTTTTCAGCGTAACAGCTGAAACGTCGTCATTGACGACATCAATATATACATATTTTTGGACAATTGCTTGTGGGATCGATGGGCTTGCTCACACCCACTAGCGCAGTGTCGTTGCCATTGCACATCTCGGCTTCTGACGCAACCCCTCAGGTGGCAGATGCGAGGACGTATCTTCTGTTTGATGGGCTATAGTGTACAAAGTAATTTATAGATGTCTTCTCTACTCTAATTTCTCATAAAATGTTGTGGCAGTAGATCCATACACCACGAGATCACTAATGAGATAAGATTCATCTCTCTTTGCAAACATGGAGAACGCCTCTGAAACTGATTCTTACATGCCCTCTGGGCTTTTCCCCAATATGCGAAGGCGAAAGTCCGACGACACCATCACTAACCGACCGTCGCTGTACTCGGAAACTGAATCTTCATCGATTCTGAATCTCCGAAACATCCTCTTCAATGCTGCTCCCACTACGGTATCCAGAGCCTCAACTCAAGACAACGCCAGTAGCGAAACTGTTGACAAAGTAACAGACGAAGAATCTCGTGAGTCTTTCGACTCTTCTATAATAGACGAATTAACTAGAGACAGAAACTACTCTCAGCAGAATGGCAATTTCAAGTATTTAGATGCTTACCAACAAGCCAAAAGAGCACGCCCGAGCTTCGAAGGTTCTGTATTCGAACTCTCGTCACTCCCTGACTTTGAGAAGTACGTGAAACAGACCCAAATAAACGATTCCATAAGGGACAAAGTTGCCTCGTCGACGGTCCGAGATGGCCCTGCAACTTTGGAGATAGTGAACAATGAAGAAATGAAAGAAAAGTTTTTTACAGACGACTACAGCTTCCAAGGTGACATCAAGAAGCCAAGAAAGCCAGAGCCGGCATGGCACAAGGATAGACGATGGTACTCGTTCCCTAAAAAAGACAATACTGATTTGCAGTTTCGTGAAACATTAACATCTCCAACACTGAGCTCTGACGAGTCTGGTACTCCTCAGAAGTTCTTGCAAAGAAAGCTTCGTATGCGGCATCTTCAAATGATTTCATTTGGCGGAACCTTGGGTGTTGGACTTTTCCTCAATAGTGGAAAAGCTTTCACTATAACAGGAGGCTTTGGTACCCTATTGGCATTTATGATTTGTGGATCTATCATATTGGCAACTATTGTTTCCTTTTGTGAAATGGTGACATTCGTTTCTGTAGTGGATGGTGTATCAGGTTTGAGTTCAAGATTCGTGGAAGACGCCTTTGGATTCGCCGTGGGCTGGATGTATTTTGCCAGTTTTGCGTTTGGCCTAGCAGGCGAAATTGTCGCTAGCATCATCATGCTCTCATTTTACCCTCAACTAAGCATCGTGAATAACAAAGGAGCTAGTGCAGGGTTTGTGGTTTTATTTCTAGGGATTATTTTGTTCAGCAACTTGATAGACATCAGAATTTTTGGAGAAGTCGAGTACATTTCCAGTGTCATCAAGTTAGTCGTGCTTCTGGTACTTCTTATAATCATGATTGTATTGAATACCGGGGGCTTTGGAACCGAGGCTTTGGGGTTCAAATATTGGAATTATCTGAAATCAGATTTCGATCATGACTTAATATTTGGGTTATTTCGCCCGTCATTCAACTTACATGACGATGGAACTTCTACTCCATCTGAAGGAATAGGAGGTTCCGCCGGAAGATTTCTTTCTCTTCTTACGGCTATACTAGTGGTGACATACGCATACAGCGGGACTGAAATTGTGTGTGTTGCTGCCTGTGAAGCCAAAAATCCCCGGAAAGCGCTACCTTCAGCCACCAGGCGTGTCATATGGCGTATCTTGATTTTCTATTGCTTGGCGGCATTGTTGGTGGGAATTAATGTTTACTCAGGAGACCCTAGAATGTTAAGATACTCTCTGGGGACAACAGGTGTTTTGCCAAAAGACTTTCTGACGAATTACGCAGTCCAGTACGCCGGGGGTTCGGAGTGCAAAATACAATCTGAAGTGTACGCTGGCTTCGGAAGTGGAGCTCAAAGTCCTTGGATAGTTGCACTTCAGTCGGCTGGCCTCTGTAAAATGTGCTCAGTTGTCAACGGTTTTCTTGTCTTTTTCGCTATCAGTTGTGGAAACGCTCAACTTTACGTCAGTTCTAGGACCGTGTATCTGATGGCATTGCAAGGAAAGGCACCCAAGTTTTTGGCAAACTGTAACAGATTTGGTATTCCTTACAATGCAGTACTTTGTGCCGCAAGTTTTGGTCTCTTGGCATTCATTTGTGTATCGCAACAAGCAACAGGAGTCTTCCAGAATCTCACAAGCTTGATTTCGTCTTCAGGAATCATGGTCTGGTTCTCAATGTGTGTATCATACATCCGGTTCTATTATGGATTGAAGAAAAGACCTGATATTATCAGTCGCGATGACAAGTCTTATCCTTACAAGTCGATATTCCAGCCTTATACTGCCATGTGGGGAGCGTTTGGCAGTGCTTTCATTCTCATATCGATGGGATGGGTTGTGTTTTTAAAGGACGAGTGGGATACCTGGTTTTTCTTCCTGAGTTACGGCACACTAATGTTGTTCGCAGTGCTTTATTTCGGTTACAAATTTGCCAAAGGAACCTCTTTTGTCAGCCTTGAGCAGCTTGACTTTGATACTGGACGAACTGAAATGGATCGCTACATTTGGGATGGAGGAAGAGAGTATAATTTGAGAAATTGGAAGGACCTTGCTAGGAAATGGCTTCGTCTCCTATCATAGTGGATTTGCATAAAAATGTACTATTGTAGAACTATTAATTCACAATTATTTTCAGTGTTCAGTTGACTATCTACAGGGTACTTGGTTGTCGTCTGCAGCAGCATGCACCTAATTTACCCAATTGGGAACAATTTCAACAATTGAACACACTTCCGGATGTGCTCAGTATCGAGGGCACGTGAGCGTTTCACCCTATTAGTCGCATTCCGAGGGCACTCGGTTAGTTTGTGCGTTGAGATCATATTCCATTCACTTTTCTAGTGGTCAATTGAAGGTCTTTTCTCATGTCCTGGCAACCTACTGAAACTTTTCTACGGGGAAAGGTCATCAAACCTTTCCTTCCCTTTGAGAAACACCCCAATTTGACGAATGATCAGTTGAAAAATTTGTACCCTGGAGACGAAGTCTACATCTTTGAAAGAAAAGGTAGTCGGTGGGCTCGTGGATATGCCTTATCCAAGCCTTTTCCCAACAATTTCACCATCACCTCTGTGAATTTGGATGAACTTCCTGGATTGGAAACCAGTATTGTGGTTTTTCCCATTGAGTTACATCAGTGTTGTGGAAGAGGTTGCAATAGAACACGTTGAAGTGAGCAAACGCTACAACAATATTAGTGACAAGGATCAGATGCCTACTATCAAGGATGCTGAATTGAACTATAAACTGGCTGTTGATGGAAATCTTTATGCTGATGATTCTCAATCGCTGAAACCGGCTCCACCAGCAATTCCAGTTCATTCTTTGGCCAGCAAGGCAAGTAATGGATTACTGGGAGAGATTAAGTATGCGCTTGTGTTGCTCACGTCGCACATCTTTGCTTTGTACTCGATTGGTGAATTTAGATTGTTCAACAAATTGTCGGGAATTTACTACAGTTTATACCAAGCAAGACTCAAACTTCTTAATGGTATTTTGACCGATAATGAAGCAAAAGTAGCCAAGGAAACTGCTACTTTTCTTTTGGACAAGATTCCCAAGAAATTGGCTTCTAGAGCTGCCAGATTGAATGCCGTCAGTTATGACTTGGACAACCTGAATACTGACATTTCTGGCTACAAGGCCATTCTTTCTAGAGACACTACTTCTGGCGATTTGTTGTCCAACGACAACGCTCTTCCTTCCAGAATATCTTTGAACCAGGTATTGTGTGCCTTAGCTGCAAACTTTCCTATCAATGCTCACAGCAATCTTCAACAGTATTCCTTAGATGCTCCAGTGAACAAACTTACCAAACATGAGCCACCTTCTCATATTTTGGTTGATTTCAAGTCAGTGTCAGGAAGTTCAGCATATCAGCCTCCAGGATTTGCTGGTATGATTGCTTACATGTACATTCGTAATTCGAAAAAGAGATTGACAGAAGCTTTTGCGGTTCATACTGACTCGGTTGATGATTTGGTACATGTTTGAGAAGATTTCTGCTGCTTTGTTCCGTAACATTCCAGCAAGTGAAGTGGAGAACGGTAGGGTTTACCTTGTGGCTGTTTTGACGGAAGAAATAGATTTGAACATTAAAGAGAGCAACAACATGCCGCAGATCAAAAGAGTCAAGAAGGGTGTTGCAGCAGGTGTTACTGATATCACCCGAATCTTCTCTCGTAACCAAGGTTCTTTGACATCAGGTGAAGCCCACCAATTCACAATCAAGCTTTTCGGGTCATATATCAACCAGAGAAAGACCACTGGTAAGCCAGAAAGCGACAGTGCCGTGAACAATGGATGGGGAGAAGCCGTTGACCGTATCATTGCCGGCTCTAACCATGGTATAGCCGTCAACCCTAGAGCTGAAAAATTGGTGGTTTCTGTTAAAGAGTTCAAGCATCAGTTCCACGGAAGCAGTAACTTTAACCCTGTGGGAAACAACACTCCTATTGCTAGAATCAAGCCCATCTTTTACGATCCATTGGCTGAAAATTACGAAAGAATTTACTTGAAAATTGGAAAGGTTTCTTTGTTGAGTAGCATCACTAAAGACGACTTATTGACGTTCGAAGTTAGCACTCCAAACAATGATATGATAGACTTGCAAAAGCATCAAATCAACAGGAGAAACGTTCGTGGCAGTTTGTCTCGGTCT